TTGATACTTCAACTGCTTATGCAAATTATGTAGTGTTCAACTAAACGTAGTTTCCCCGTTTCTTTGATGCAGCTGTTGGCCCTTCGTGATCTGGTGGTGTTCGGACGTTTGCACTGGGATTCTCTACCCTCACCAAATTACGGAACCTGGAAATTGAAGGCTGCCCAAAGTTAGAAGAAAGTTGCAACAATCGGAGTGGCCCAAACTCCCAGTGGTCCAACATTTCCCATATTCCTAAAGTTAAAGTTGGTGGAAGCATAATTCAGGACTTGCGTAAGTCTCTGTTTCTCTTTCCGTGTCTGAGTCGCATTTTTAATTATTATTTTCTATCAGTTCTAGAAAGAAGTTCTGTATATAATTTAATACTATCTCCTGCAATTATTTTGACGTTAAAAAAATGCAAAATTATTAGTCAATTGCATCTTATCTATGCTATGCTTTCAGCACTCTGCTAGTCCACTTGAATCAAATTGGTGTTCTTCTTATAATTCTTCAAGTAATGTATATCTATATCACTTTTAAGATATGATTTATTCATGAAAATTTATGTTTTTTTTCCCCTTAAAGGTTACTAGTTCCAAGGTCATACTTGAACATCACTGTGGTAAATCAAGTCAAAATCCATGAATGGCAGGCAATTACGTTAGGTCAATTTTCATTTAGACTTGTTAGAGGAATGCGTTTTTTTGCACTACTTTTTTCTCTTTTACTGTTTAAATAGGGTTGGTTATGTTCCACCACCACATTTGTTTGGTTGAAGAACAGAATCTTCGGCCGTAGACATTACGGGACACTTTCATGAATATTTAGTAACGATAACATAATCTGTCAACATTTTACTCTTCATAATGGGGAATACCAACAATTATTAAGTGAAACTATTTGTTTGTTTTTAAAACATGTGCTACAAAAAGTTTTAAAGTGATGTCTCTCTATACTTTTATCAAGCATAGGAAGTCGACTATTCCAAATTCGTGCTGTGTAGGGCCCAATTCGAGGTAAAGCACTCTCCACCAAGGATTTTTCAATACCCAAGGCTCCAACCCGAGACATCTGGTTAAAGGAGGAACATCCCATCAAGCACCTCATATTTTAAGTATTCTGCTAAAGAATGCATCAAATGATGAATATATCCTCTTTTGATACTTCAACTGCTTATGCAAATTATGTAGTGTTCAACTAAACGTAGTTTCCCCGTTTCTTTGATGCAGCTGTTGTCCGTTCGTGATCTGGTGGTGTTCGGACGTTTGCACTGGGATTCTCTACCCTCACCAAATTACGGAACCTGGAAATTAAAGGCTGCCCAAAGTTGGAAGAAAGTTGCACCAATCGGAGTAGCCCAAACTCCCAGTACTGGTCCAACCAACATTTCCCATATTCCAAAAATTGAAGTAGGTGGAAGTTACTCTCCTCCAGCCTTCTCCTTTTATAGTTTTCCAAACATTTTTCTATTCCACTTGAAACAAATTTATGAATATCTATATTACTTTTAAGATATGGTTTAATCATGAATATTTATGTATTTTTTTTCTCATTGGTTATTAGTTCCAAGGTCATACTAGAACATTGTTGAGGCATTTCAAGTGCAAAATCCATGGGCGGCAATTACGTCAGGTGAACTTTCAATTAGAATTCTTTTACCAAGTTTGCACAAAGCTGGAAAATCCAAGGAATTCATGATCTTCAGATGTAGCTGCACTTTCATGGAAGGGGATATTGATATTTTTGTGAGGTTCTAAACGTCACAAAAATTATTAGCATAATACATAATCATGACCCTTAACTTGTCTTTACCGAACAACTATTACCTCTAACTTTAAGTGTGAACAAGTAGACATTTAAACTTGTATAAAATTGAACAAGTAGAAACATGTATCCTACATGTTAGAATACACGTAGGACGCCACGTAGAACAAAAAATTGTCATGTAAGGTGTCATGTGGGATGAACGTGTCTATTTGTTCAATTTTATTTAAGTTTAAGTGCCTAATTGTGCAAACACAAAGTTAAAGATCATAGTTGATAACTGACGTCAAGTTAAGGGTAATATTTATGTATTATGCCAAAAAAATTCTCTGGTTTTGGCCGATGAAGTCCAGGAAGACAGGAACTCCTTAGCTACCACTTTCCATTTTCATTTCTAGAGTTTCTTTAACCTTTGATTTTCTTTAATTTTTGCTCTTTTCTTTTGCTTTGTTGTTTTCTGGTTGGACCGGGTCGTTATGACTTGGGTCTAACCCCCTTTGATGTACATAGTTGAAAACTTACATAAATATATTATATTAAGAAAATATTTACTATTTATAGCCATAACATTTTTTTTCTCTTGATCACTTTAAATATATTTATAATACAATTTTAATACCTATTACAGAGAACAATTTATAAAACACATATAATAAAAGTTTTATTGATGGATAATACATTTATTACACATTTTAATACACTTATAATACAAATGTGTCAATTTCTTAAAAAAAAAAACAGAATATATTCTAAAACAGTTATAATACATATGTGTTGCATACATAATTTACTTTTAATACATATAGCAAATTTATCACAATATTGTCATATATTGCTAGAAATGTTAATAAATAAAAGTATCGCTAAAATCAATAATTATTTATTAAAAGCTACTCATTCAAGTATTTTGTATTATAATTCAGGCCTTTTGGCCTTTTATTTTTAAAAAAATATTAGTTCATGCAGTAGGGGAAAAAATAAGAAATGAAAAGGAAGGTCAATTTTTTCTTTAAAAAAATCTGCTCAATCCAATAAAAACTTAGGAAAATGGAAATCATTTGTTATCTTTATATAGTGTTTCTTGATGTTGTTCTTTAAAATTCCTTTTAACATATATATATTTATTAAATTAAATCAACCAACATTTAATTATTTAATGAACTAGTCAAATTCTACTAATCTTTATATTAACAATTAGGTTATTAATTTAAAAGTTTTAAAATTTGAATATCCAATTAGTTAAGAAAAATAAAAAATAAAAAATAAAAATAGGAATTGTAAAAGTTCTATAGAGATAAAAAAAATCTTTGAATTTAAAACAATTAATTTTGCATAACATGAATGTCATTTGTGCAAGCATTAAAGTACCACTTCTCCATTCCCAAATCACGATCAATTCATATAATTGAAAAAATTATTTAACAGATGTTTTTTAACTTAAGGGGAAAAATAATATTACTTAATGTAATTAATTATCTAATTTATCATATGGCAAAAATGACAATCCAACATTTAGATATATATATTTTTTCTTTGTAATGTGATATGATTACTATTTAATATGTAGTATAATATGATATACTATTTAGTATTTAGTTAACATAATATGATATGATTTATTTAATATTTAATTAATTAGACATAATTTAGTTTTTAGAGTTTATAAAGTAACAATTTATTTCTATTTTTAATGACATTATTGGAGTAACTCAACTTTATAAGATTATTTTGATATTTCCATTTTCAATCTTTTTTTATTTCCACTTTATATGATACGAGAATGATATATGATATGATGATTAACTTGCCTTATTCAAAATCATAATGAAAAGTGACTGCCATTCATTAGAAATTAAAAGTAACACAACGACCACCCAAAATTAAAGCTATTCTTTATTTAATTATTGTGTATGAATTATTCTTTAATTTAGTGTTGGGATTATTCTTTTCTTTAGTGTTGGGATTATTCTTTACTTTATTGTTTTCTTTAGTGTTGGGATTATTCTTTACTTTAGTGTTGGGATCATTCTTTTCTTTAGGAGTTGTTTGGTTTGAATTCAAGTTATGATGTGATTAGTTATGATAGGATAAGTTATGATGGGATTAGTTATGATGGATAAGTTATGCTAAGATTATTTTTTATTGAGTGTTTGGTTTGTTGTATTCAAAATAATAAATCTTAAGAACAACATATAAGTTTACAAAAATACCCTTCATGGATGTAAAAAGTAATGTATAAAAAATGTTTAAAGGGACATTTTTGTCATTTAGTCATTTTATCCCGGGATAATCTATCTCGAGATTACTATACCACCCATGGGAAGGGATAACTTATCCCGGTACTAATTATTAATCCCGGGATAAGTTATTCCGGACTTGCCAACCAAACAACAAATTAAGTGGCACTATAATTTAATCCCAAGACTATTTTAAGTTTTCCTTCACACCAAACGCCACCTTAGTGTTGGGATTATTCTTTACTTTAGTGCTGGGATTATTGTTTTCTTTTAGTTTGGGATTATTCTTTACTTTATTGTTTTCTTTAGTGGTTGGCAAACAAACAACTAGCAAAAGAAGATTTGTGCAAAAACTTTGGTGTAGAGGAAGAAGAGGACTTTGTGTGAATTAAGGAGAAAAAACAACAATGGCCGACCCTGTAATTGGTGCTACTGTTCAGGTTGTGCTTGAGAAGCTACTTTCTCTCACAATTGAGGAGGCCAGAAGTTTAAGGAACTGCAAGAAAAATCTCAGAATGCTGTCAAGATATGTAACCATGATCCAAGCTTTCATTCATGATGCTGAAAGACGACAAGTCGAAGATAAGGCTGTGGAAGAATGGCTCAAGATGCTTGAGAGAATTGCTGAAGATGCTGAAAATGTGTTTGACAAATTCACATATGAATCTATCAAAGCGAAAGTGATGAACAACCGAGCCAAACTAATGGAAAAGGTCAGTCAATTCTTTTCTCATACTGCTTTCAAGTACAAAATGTCTCGAAAAATCAATAAGATCAATGAAGAGTTGAGGGATATCAATCAGTTAGCTAACAACCTCGGTTTCCAATCACTGACGGTTCCTTCTCGGAAAATACTACTAATCCGAGAAACAGATTCTGCACTAGTTCCTTCAGATGTTGTTGGTAGAGACAAAGATGTTGCTGTAATAAAGGAGAAGATTTTGAACATGAGAAAGGATGCTGTTCTGTGCACCATTCCCATAGTCGGTATGGGGGGTTTAGGGAAAACTACTCTGGCTAAGAGGATTTTCAATGACCAACACATCGAGAAACACTTTGAAAAGAGAATTTGGTTGTGTCTACCTGAAATGTCTGAAATTAAGAGCTTTCTTGAACTGATCCTCGAATCATTGACAGAGAGGAAAGTTGAGGTCCAGAGCAGAGATATAATAGTCAAGAAGCTCCGAGATGCATTGGGAGAAAAACAGTATTTGCTTGTCCTGGATGATTTGTGGCGTGTTGACTCTACTTCGTGGCACGAGTTCTTGGACACCTTGAGGGGAATAAATACATCCAGAGGAAACTGCATTCTCGTGACTACTCGTTCGAAGCAAGTGGCATCCATAGTAGCAGCAGATCTTCATAAGTTGGGGAAATTAACAGATGATCATTGTTGGTCCATTTTCAAACAACGAGCATTTGTTGATGGGGAAGTTCCGGAGGAAATACTGAGTGTGGAGAACAAGATTGTTGAAATGTGTCAAGGTCTACCTTTGGCTGCTAGTGTGTTGGGAGGCCTCTTTTGTAACAAGGAAAAACATGAATGGCAGGCAATTCTTGATGGCAGCTCCCTTGTTGCATCTGAAGATAGCATTAAGAATATCCTAAAACTCAGTTATGATTATCTACCATCTCCACATCTGAAGAAATGGTTTAGTTACTTTGCAATGTTTCCAAAAGATTTTGAGTTTGAAAAGGACCAACTAATCCAACTCTGGATGGCAGAAGGGTTTCTTCGTCTATGTCAAGAGACCACTGTGATGGAAGACGTCGGGAACAAGTTTTTCCAACTCTTGTTACAATATTCCTTGCTGCAGGATGTTAAGCTAGATGAGTACAACAATATAACACACTGTAAGATGCATGATCTTGTGCATGATTTGGCAGGAGATATTTTTAAGTCTAAACTATTTGATCAAAAGAGTGTCGGAGGAGAAAGTCTTTCTCAAGTTCGATACTTTGGATGGGAATCACCAAGTGATCAAATAGATAAGATATATGAGCCAGGACGTTTGTGCACATTGTTCTGGAAAAGCAATATATCTGATGATATGCTATTGAGCTTTCAGTTCTTGAGAGTTTTAAATTTGTCCAGGTCAGGCATCAAGGAGTTGTCAGCCTCAATCGTCAAGCTAATATACTTGAGATATCTTGATCTCTCCAATACTGAGATGAAAAACCTTCCCAACTCCATATGCAAGCTCTACAATTTGCAAACTTTGAGATTCTATAGCTGCTGGTGTCCACTCGGGAAACTTCCAGAAGAAATGGCAAATATGATAAGTTTGAGACACATATGTTGCTACCATTGTTTCGAATCAGATTCTCAGATGCCACTTAATATGGGGCAATTGACTAGTCTTCAGACGCTACAGTTTTTCTATGTAGGTTTAAAGAAAGGTCATCGAATAGAAGAACTGGGTTGTTTGAAAAATCTTAGAGGTGAATTGACGATCGAACGTCTACAATTAGTCGGAAATAAAGAAGAGGCTCGAACAACATATTTACAGGAGAAACCAAATATCTACAAACTGGTGTATTCGTGGTCCCATGATGAATCAGAAGGCTGTGAGATCAATCATGAGCATGTGTTGGATGGTCTTCAACCACATCTGAACTTGAAAACCTTAGAAGTTGTGGACTATTTAGGGACTAAATTTGCTTCATGGTTCAGTGAAAAAATGCTACCAAATTTGGTCATGTTGAGATTAAGTGGTTGCAAAAGGTGCAAAGAAATTCCATCACTTGGCCAACTGAAATTCCTTCGGCATCTTGAGCTGGTAGGATTCCATGAGTTGGAATGCATTGGACCTGCTTTATATGGTGTTGACATTAGCAATATTGGATCAAGCAGCATTATCCAAGTGTTCCCGTCATTGAAAACACTAGTATTGGAGGATATGCGTAGCCTTATTGAGTGGAAGGGAGATGAAGTTGGAGTAAGAATGTTTCCTAGGCTTGAGAAGTTGAGGATTAGGAACTGTCCATTGTTAAAAGGTACTCCGAATCAATTTGAAATCCTCCGTGAATTAGTAATTGTCAGAGTTGACAGTGAAATGCCATTGTTGAACTTGTGCAGCAACTTGACATCTCTCATAGAGCTTGAAGTCTATGATATGAAAGAGCTCACTTGTTTGCCAGATGAGATGCTACGCAACAATGTTTCTCTTCAACACATATCGGTTTCCGACTGCAGAGAGTTTCATGAATTGCCACAAAGCTTGTACAATCTCCATTCTCTTAAGCTCTTAACGATTGATAACTGCACGAATTTCAGTTCTTTTCCTGTTCCGAGTGAAGAGAATTATTTGACTTCCCTCCAAGATCTTCGGTTATTGGATTGTGATGGATTGAGCAGTTTACCAAGTGGAATGCTAGAGCATTGTCGGTCTCTGGAAACTTTGAGTGTCAGCCGCTGTGACAATTTAGTTTCATTCCCTTTACATGTGGGGGAAATGCCTTCACTTTCCTATTTGTATATATCACAATGTCCCAAATTGATTAGTTTACCCTCAGGGGGTATTCACCATCTCACTGAGTTAAGTGAACTGGAAATTGGTCCTTTCTCAGAGATGGTGGATTTTGAGGCATTCCAATTGATTTTTAATGGCATTCAGCAGCTGCTGTCCCTTCGTACATTGTGGGTGTATGGACATGGTCACTGGGATTCTCTGCCCTATCAGTTTATGCAACTCTCTGACTTAACAAAGATTCAAATATATGGATTCGGAATCGAGGCTCTTCCTCATAGATTTTGCAACCTTACTTCTCTTGGAACGTTAAGGTTAGTGAGGTGCAAACGGCTACAGAACCTGGACTTCTCATATGTCATGCCCAAATTACAATATCTGTGTGTAGAGGAATGTCCATTGTTAGAAGCTCTGTCGGATGGGCTTGGCAACCTTGTTTTTTTGGGACATTTACATTTAGTAAACTGTGAGAAACTAGAGCATTTGCCATCGAGAGATGCCATGCAACGCCTCACCAAATTATGGAACCTGGGAATTAAAGGCTGCCCAAAGTTAGAAGAAAGTTGCACCAATCGGAGTGGCCCAAACTCCCAGTGGTCCAACATTTCCCATATTCAAAAAATTGAAGTTGGTGGAAGCACAATTCAGGACTTGCGTAAGTCTCTGTTTCTCTTTCAATTTCCGAGTCGCATTTTTAATTATTATTTTCCACGAGTTAGTCTTCTCCATTCTCCAAACATTTTTCTATTCCACTTGAAACAAATTTATGAATATCTATATTACTTTTAAGATATGGTTTACTCATGAATATTTATGTATTTTTACTCATAGGTTATTAGCTCGAAGGTCACACTAGAACGTTGTTGTGGCATTTTAAGTCAAAATCCATGGGCAGCAATTACACTAGGTGAAATTCCATTTAGAATTCTGTAACAATTTTGTCAAGTTTTTCTTTGCACTCCTTTTTTTTTTTTCTTTTCTCATGACACAATTTTATTGTTTAACAGGGTTAGTTATGTTCGATAGAGAGGAACCAACACGTTTGTTTTGTTGAAGAACAGAATCTTCAGCCGTAGACTCTTACATGAGCATTTGGTAAAGACTACTGACTACATAATCTCTCAACATTTACTCTTCATAACATGGATATATACCAACAACTATTAAGTAAAAATAATTTAGTACACAGTCGCTCATTTGCCCTAGTGAAACTATTCTTTTATGTATGGGTGTCTTTCGATAATATATAACCTTTTTCTACGAGTTGATGAAAATAAAAAGACTAACAAGTAGTTTTGGGTAAATAATGAATGAGTAGTTCAACCAACCAACAAGTACCATGTTCTAGACTTCCCCTTTTGGATGTTCACTTGAAATCTATTTTTTCTTCTTTTCTATACAATAGAAGCGTAAACTCAATATCAGGTCAGGTACTTTGGTCAGGTAGTAAAGGGTATCCGTGGACCGAGCCATTGAATTCTGTTCATGAACTATTCATAAGATGAAGTTAGGAGGTTGCTGTGCTACTAAAACTGACTTTTTACCGTCTCCTATGTTTCAGATTCTTGAATGAAACAATGGCATGAAACTTGTCGAGATGGTATACTGAAGCAGACTTCTCTTAGATGTGTTTAAGTGTCGTGATTAGCCAGGGAAATTACATTAGGCGGAAACTGGAGAGGAGATACTATTTACTTGTATGACTAAGATTTGACAGCAGAGGCCTTTCTTGCACAGTGTTCATGCCTTTTTGTACAAAGAGTTTTTTGTTTCCAGCAAACATTTTGAACTTAATACTTAGCTGCTGCATCATTGCCTAGTTCATATACATCTTCTTTAATCAGTTAATGTAGCTGTTCTTTTCCTCTTCAAATTCATCTTGGCTATTCTTTTACTACACCCCCTGCCCTTAAAGAAAATACTAGGTCCGCCCTGCTTTAATGTAGCTGTGCTTTTCCTCTTGAAATTTATCTTGGCGAGTGTTTGCGCATAATAAACAATGAGGGTAGCCTAATCGAATGGGTCAGTTGATTTGCAAGTCACAAAAGAGTGTATTGTCATGACCCTTGCTTACAAGATCGTGAAAAATTTATGAGTAAATTGTCAAAAGCTGCACAAAATATTAGTGAATGTGTAAATTGGTGACAACATATTTAAAGATGTAAATTACAAATTATTCTCATGGATTAAAAAAAGATGATTCATATATGGTATATTTAATCTTTCTCACCTGTTTTTTTTCAGACTATTTATAATAATCGACTAATTTGAATTAGTATTTTAATAGTCAAATTTATTTATTTTCATTTATTTTATTGTAAAATTTATTATAAATGTCTCAAATATTTTTTTTATACATATAAAAACTAAATTACAATATAGCTACAAAAAAATTAATTTATTTTTTAGCTTTTTAATCCTTTTCCATTCAAACTTTTTTCGTTTTATTTTATCCGATTTTACACTAAAAATGAAAAAAAAATCAAATAATAATAATCAAAGAAGTCAAAAAATAATTTATGTGTGAAAAATATCAAATACATGATTTTTTAAAAATATTAAAAATTAAAAAAAAAAAAAAATTATTTTTTTCACTTTTGTAACGATAGAGAATTAGGGATATATATGAGTCACTTTTAAATTGAGAGGGTATATATGAGTCATTATTGTAATAGTAAGGGCTAGGGGTGTCAAATGAGCGGGTTTAATTGAAATTGGAGATACTAAAATGGGTTAAAATAGAAATCAGGTTGGGTCTTGACCCGTCCAAGTTTGCTTTGGGCTCAAATGGGCTAAAAAACGGGTTGGGTCTTGACCCACCCAATTTGACCCGATTAATCTCAATAATTTTAACATATTAATATTTAACTTTTATAATCACAATTTGAATTTCAGCTCAAGATTTTTTTTAAAAAAGGTAACAAATGGATAGATAAATCTTAAAAGATGTTAAATAGATAATAATTCATACCTT